CGGGCTGCGCCACCGAGCCCGGCTGTCTCCGCTCGCCTTAAAGAAACAAGACCGGCCCCAGCCTCCCCAGAAGTGCCTTCTTGGCACGGAACGTGCCCTGCTCGTCCTCGGTCGCCTGCGGACTCTGGTGAGGGGTGAAGTCAGGAGGAAGCGGAGGCGGAGATGGTCTCTCTGCTGCAAGAACGACCCTGCTGGCTAGAAAACTCGGTCCAGGGCCCTGTTTCTTCAGTTTGAGGCGCCTGTGTCCGCTAACTAAACGGGGACTCACAGGACCGCAGCAGTTAGCTCAGGGCTTATCAGGAGGAAGGCAGGAAGCAGAAGCCCGGGGCATGGAGGGAGCCAGCGATTCCGGGGTGCGTCTTGCAGGAAGCTGGTCCCCTATGCGGACAGGGTCTTGAGATGAAGGTCGCCCATGTCCGTGGAAGGCACGGATGCGCCTGTGTGAGTGTCCTCTGGAATGTGTGGTAGATGCCGCGAGGCAGAACACCCTCCATTCGTTTTATTTTCTTTTTTTTTTTAGACAGGGTCTTGCTCTGTCACCCGAGCTGGAATGCCATGGTGCGATCATAGCTCACTGTAGCTTTGGACTCCTGGGCCCGAGTGATCCTCCCACCTCAGTAGGTGGGACTACAGGTGCGTCACCACACCCGGATAATTTTTTAAAATTTTCCTGTGGAGATGGGGAGTCTTGCTATGTGGACTCCTGGGCTCAAGCAATCCTCCCACTTCTCCCTCCCAAAGCACTGGGATGACAGGGGTGAGCCCCTGCACACAGCGGTTTTCTGGATCAACCCGTTGAAGGCAACAAAGGCAATCGCAGAGACCGGAAAGCAGGACCAGACAGCTCCCCAGGACGTGTGGGCGGGGCCTCCCAAGGACGTCTTCCCTGAGTGTCCCCGCCCCACCCACTCTCTCCCTGGCACTCTGGGCGTCTTTCCTCCTGCAGAGCAGCGGGTGGGAGCAGCCCCGACCCCACACCCCTCTTGGGAAAGTTTGAGGAGTGCACACAGGCACAGCCCTCTGAAGAGGGAACAGAAGAGAGTACGCGGGTGCTCAGTCAACGCCAGCTGGGATCTCAAAGTGTCGTCATCGTCACCGCCACGGCGATCTGCCACTGTAAGTCTCCCCCCTTCTAGAAGGCAAGATCCCTTACGGAAGACCGCTTCATCCTCACAGACTGTTCTTACCGCGGACACCCAAGGCCTCCACGCCTCCTCTGGCACCCAGGAGACACTGGGAAATGTGTTCTGAACTATCATAAAATACAACTGCCACTGGGAAACTGATCTGGTGTGCCACTTCAGGGTTTCAATGGCTCCGACTTTTGAGAAAACAAAAACCCGGGAAGAAGAGTGAGAGGGAGAAAGGGTCGTTGCATGTTTGTCACCGACGGTCCTGGAGACCGCGGATGGCCCAGTGAACACTAGGCTTGCGATGACGTCACTGACAGAAATCGAAGGGTTATTATTTTTTTGATCTACAGTTGTAGATATTGGCAACAAATCTACAGAAAAAGCCTTCTGGGACATGCCTTCGCAAGGGAAGCCTGCTCAGACAGAGCCCGGCGAGTGCCCTGGAGAGCTGGTCCCAGAAGACGCGCGATGAGGGGCTCCTCCCCCCAGCCCACTGGAGACGCCTCAGAGCTCCACGGGACCCCGCCGTGAGCACCTGAGAGCCCAGAAGCAAGAGGCCTTGGTTCGCTCATTTCCTGAGCGCAAGGCCGCAGAAAGGTTTCCCGTCACATCATTCCTATGGACAGCTCATGACACTCGTGCCCTCTAGATCAAACCACAGGAAACGCTGTCCCGTAGATGCACATTTGCCCAGAGTTCCATTTTCTCCTCAGTAAATCACGACGTGTTTCATTCTAAGCAATTCCAAGTCTCTCTGCACACAAGTTGGGACGTCAGTCTTGAACATGGATGCTTGGCTAAGTAGGATGCTCTGGCTCCCCAATTACAGACTCGAACTGTAGAATATGTGCCCAGCTGCCCTTAGGCCGCACTGAAAGCACGCAGCAGCACACCTCGCCTTGAACACGAGGCAGCCACCTGGGAGCTTTGCTACAGCGTGGACTCGGGCCGCGGGTCTGGGTGGACTCAAGCCCCGCCCTTCTCATCAGCAGCCCGTGATGGCTGCAGCGGCCTGGGGACCGCACACGCAGGAACGCCGCTTCCCCACCTTGGTAAGCTCAGCAGGATATCCCTCATCCGATATAGATCTGTTATTTCGAACAACATTGTGCATGTGGTTGAGGGAACCACACACGGAGAGAGTTCACATTTTTAAAATATCAGCGTGTTTTCTCGATACCACCTTCCTCACGCAAGCGGACACTGATGGGGAAGCTTGGCTGTGGCGACGTCAGCATCGCAGCCCGCGTGGAGCCTGGTGGTCAGAGGCACTTGGTGCCGCTGAGTACACTGATGCATTGTCACAAACCTTGTCACCGGCTATAACTGAGGAGGGGGCAGCGGCAAATGTCTGCTAAGGAGGGCGATCCTGATATGAAAATCCTACCAAGTAACCGCCTGGCAGTTTGTCCATTCTCACCTTTAGGCATTTCTCCTAGCGGCCTGAGGCTATGGCGTGTGCACACGCACACATACACCTATTGATTTTCACACATTTAAACCCAGTGGCGTTGAGACTGGACGTGATCTGGGTGGAAGCAGTGCCACGCGCAGACCCTTCCTCGCACGTGGAGATGAGGGTCCCGGATGTTCGTGCAAGTGAGTATAAAGCACTTTATCACGTAAAGCATCTGAGCATAACTGTGGTCTTTAATGTAAGGTAGTTTAGAGAAGTGAGTATCTTCCACACGCGGCCTTTCTCAGCAAGGAGCGCCGGTTCTTGCCATCCGGCCGGCAGAGCAGCAGCCATTTCTCGGGGCTCACGCCACGACAGGCCACCCGCCAGCCCCGTCAGCGCGTAGGGTTCTCATGGCAACACCACACACGGAGCGTTTCACATGGCCAGGCGGGCCGTAAGGCTGCGAACCTGGATCTCCCAGAGCCTGTCCCACGGAGGTCTCGGCACCAACGGGGAGAGGGGAGCACAGCACCCTGGGAGGAGCACCTCCCACGGATCCAAGTTGTGGCACTGATGTTGCCGGCGACCCATGCCGTGTCTCCTCCCAGTGTTAAAAACACGCATTTCTAAAATGTGAGATTGCTCCTCCTCTTATTTTTATTTTTGGGCCGGAATCTCACTCCACCACCCAGGCTGACACGCAGGGCATGTTCACGGCCACCGCAGCCTCGACCTGCTGGGCTCAGGTGATCCTCCCGCCTCAGCCTCCCGAGTAGCTGGAACCACAGGTGTGCGCCACCACACCTGGCCGATTTTTGATTTACTGTGTTGTCTTGCCATGTTGCCCAGCCTGATCTCAAACCCATGGGCTCAGGCAGTCCTCTTGCCTCAGCCTCCCAAAGTGCTGGGACGACAGGCGTGAGCTACTGTTCCTGGCTAGTTCTTCCTTTTAAAAACACACAAAGGGGCAACCTCCTAGGGTCCCCTCCCACTGTGGGGGTGTTTCTGTTCTCTCGATAAATCTTGCTTTCAAACACACACACACACACACACACACACACACACACACACAGTCGGCTCTAAGCTGGAACCTAGAGTCCCCAGGGTGGGGGGGTTAGGCAGGACCCTCAGTCTCCCTGCTAGTCTCCAGTGGCGTCTGCCACCCATTGGCCTCCGAGCTGACAGACATGTAAGCACCAGGGCGGTCAGAGGCACGGCCACCCATAGCCAACATCCACACGGTCACATACTGCAAGTCATGTCCCGCACATGAGGCAGATCTTTTCAGGCTCTGCTCTCTTTTCTGAGAAACCTCTTCTTGGAGCTTTGCCAACAAGAGAGCAAGCCTGCGAGATTGCTGGTGTTTTCTAATTCGTGAGGATCCCGGGGATGCCGCCGAGCAGGGCGTCAGCCACACCTGAAGCCTGTGGCTTCCCACGTGCTGATGCTCACTGTCGAGGTGGAAGGTGGCGTGGCCCAAGGGCAGCAGCCTCTCCCGAGAGTTCGCAAGCGTCCACCGACGGCCTACGCGCTCCTCGTGGCGGAGCCTCAGGCACACCCACCTGTCTGCTGTCACCACCCTCTCTTCCTTCTACGAGTCGCCCCGCTTTTCTAAAGGTGGGGCTACGGGAGCACGAGAGGGGAGCTTTTGTGAACACGGGCCCGGCTTCACCTACCGGGTCGCCCGCTCTCACCGTCGTCGATGAAGAAACGAGGACGTCTGTGGGGCTGCCCGAACCCTCACAGCCTCCCTCCCTGGGCCGGCCCGGGGAAGGTGGGAGGCTGACCTCTGGGGCAAGCCACCCTGCTCCCGGACCCGCGGTCACTCACCCCTGCAGGCGTCGGGGGCGGAGAAGGGCCGGCGGAGGTCGCGGTGGAAGCCGGGCTTGCACCTCTGGCAGTGCTGGCCTTCCGTGTTGTGCTGGCAGTGGTCGCAGACGCCGCCGCTGCGGTTCCCGGACGCCTGCCACACGCGGAGGTCAAAGTGGCAGGTGTCTGCGTGGCCGTTGCACTTGCAGGCTGGAATGGAGGAGAACAGACCCCCACAGGTCAGGGGCGGGGCCTCTCCTGCGGCAGGTCCAGGGGCGAGGCCTCTCACTCCAGGGAAAGGGCGGGGCTCTCTTTCTGTGGGCAAGGAGCAGCCCTTCCAGCTATGGCGTCAAAAGCCGCAGAGTCATGGCTCACTTGCCTTTTGAGCCTTTGGAATGGCCGGACCAGTCTGGGAGCAACACCGGCAGAAGGAGTACCTGGAGAAATCTAGCCCATTTCTAACTTTTTTGTAGAGTTGGGGTCTCACGCTGTCCTTCAGGCTGGAGGGCATTGACAGAACCAGAGCTCGCCGATCATGGCTCCCTGCAGCCTCGAACTCCTGGGCTCAGGCGATCCTCTTGCCTCAGCCTCCCTGTTGCTGGGGCTGCAGGCCGGGGCCACTGTGCCTGGCTTTTGTGCAAATATTTTGTAGTGAGTTGTCCAGACTGGTCATGAACGCCTAGCCTCAAGTGATCCTTCCGCCTTGGCCTCCCAAAGAGCTGGCAGATGACGGATGTAAGCCCAGTGGAAATCTGGCCTCTCCCTCCCTGTTCACCTTGTGTTCCCTTGCCTCGGATGGCTTACTACTCTTCATAGGTTTTTAGTTTCTTGGGTAGCTTCCAGATTTTCCTCACAGGCTGCTAATTTTAAAAATCCAGTTTCAGGGACTGGGCGTGGTAGCTCACGCCTGCAATCCCAGTACTTTGGGAGGCTGAGGCAGGAGGATTGTGTGAGCCCGGGAGTTCAAGATCAGCCTAGGCAACGTAGCAAGACCTTGTCTCTATGAACAGTACAAAACCAAAAATTAGTCAGGCGCAGAGGTGCACGCCTGCAGTCCTAGTGGAAGGATCTCCTGAGCCCAGAAGGTTGAGGCTGTGGTGAGCTGTGATTGTGCCACTGCACTCCAGTCTGGGTGACAGAGTGAGACCCCAATGCAAGAAGAAAAAATCAGCTTCAGGATATGCATGAAAGTAAACCAGGTGTGGCTCTTCCCAGCTGGGCAGAGACACTACACTGACGTTGGCTTTGGAAGGACGGGTTGTGTGGCCGCCAGCTTTTCCCGCTTGGGCGGTAACGGGCCCATTTCCACTTGCTCCTTCCCAAGGGGCCTCGTGTCTCCTGGCCTTGCTACGAGAAGCCAGGGCTGCCAAGCCTTATCTGGAAAGGGCCACTCCCATCACAGACACTGGCCTGGAGCCTGGAGCGAAGCTTCTGGTGGCCAGGGTGGCCGCGTGGCAAGACGGGCTTGCCTTTCGTGATGTGCCGTTCTCCCCTGGCGCCGTCCGCGAGGAGGGGCAGACCCCCGCGGAAGCCTCCGTGTCCGTGCAGAGGAGGCCTGCAGGGTTTGTTACGTAACTGTTTCTCAGAGCCACTTCCAAAACCACCAGTCAGTCGCCTCAAGTGACAAGTCCCTGTGTTCTATGTGCATCGAGATGTGCGGTTGGCTTCCACAGAAAGAGCCAGAAAGGCACCCCAGGAATTCAGAAGCAATTCATCAGAGCCCCTCGATGAGTGGTTTGGCAAAAGAATCCGGGCTTCCGTGTGGAGGCCAGTGCATCTGAAAATGTCTGGGCTGTCGCTTTGCATTGTTTCCTTGATGTTTTATGATATTTTGACCAGATTCGTATCTTTAGGTATCGTATTACAAGATAATTTAAGATGTATGCTTAGAGGAAACCCTTCACGTTTCCTAGGAACAAAAACAAATCGACCATAACTGACTTCAGTTATGTGTGGGAAGAATCTTCTCACAACCTCACCCTCAGAGGTACCTTTAAATCCTTGTGAGATCAAGGTTTGTGAGTGCAAACATTGTGGGGCATACATTCCTCTGAGCATTTAAAGCTCAAATTAAAAAATGGTTCACATCCCTATATTTTTTGCCCTCCTATTTACTTGTTTATTTATGAGTCGAGGTCTCACTCTGTTGCCCAGGCTGGCGTGCAGTGGCATGCTCACGGCTACCGCAGCCTCGACCTTTTGGGCTCAGGAGATTCTCCCGCCTCAGCCTTCCAAGTATCTGGAACAACAGGTGTGCGCCTGGCTAATATTGTTATTTTATTGTACAAATGAGCTCTCACCAGGCTGCCCAGGCTAGTCTCGAACCCCTGAGCTCAGGCAATCCTCTCGCCTCAGCCTCCCAAAGTGCTGGGATGACAGACAGGAGCCACCGCCCCTGGCCCACCTTCCTACTTAATCTCCAACCTCCAACCCAGAGTGAGTCCTGAGAAGGCCACCTCATTCTTGGCTTATTTGGCTTGTTGGCTCAATTCCAAACCGAATGCATCATCTCAAGTAGCACAAGGGAAGTAAAAGGCATCGTAGGATTGTGGGAAACAGTATCTAATGTGGAGTCTGAGACGTGGGACCGCTTACAAACTTTGGCAGGGCACTTCGCCTCACGCAGCCCCGGCGTCCTGATCTCTCAAATGGGATGAACACCACCTGCTGCACTGCATTGTTTTGAGAACGGAAGGCAAGATGGCTATGGTCACATCGATAACTCAAGATCTCTGCTGTGAGCATAACTGCACCCTGCGACCCTCATGTTTTCATAGTGTCAGGCTCTCTAGGGGGTTCCGAGATCCCACAGAGTGACCAAGCCAATAGGCCGCACTTTCTTGGCAAGACCGTCACGCTGGCCACCGCCAACAGTCGCGGTGACCAGGGTGGGTCCTGGCAGGCGGCGTGCGGCTGTGTGGGGTGGTGGTCGCACCTGGCCCCACCACTTCCTGATGTGTCTAGAGACCACAGGAGCCACAGACGCGTGTGCTCGGGGTACTTACTTCTGCACTCCTTGGGGGCCCCCGTCTGGCCGTCAGCGGCCTCCCAGGGCCGGTCATTGAACAGCGGGGCGCAGCGTTGGCAGTGGCTGCCAGCCGTGTTGTGCTTACACATGCACTTCCCGTGGACCTGCGGACGACATGTGAGAGCCGTGAGCCCCGTGAGCGGGCCTTGGCCATGAGACAGTCTTTCGCACCTCCCCCTCCCCTTGGAAACGGGGTCTTGCTCTGTTGCCCAGGCTGGAGCGCAGGGGCACAATCATGGCTCGCTGCAGCCTTAGACTCCTGGGCTCATGTGATCCTCCTGCCTCAGCCTCCCAGTAGCTGGGATTGCAGATGCCTGCCTGATTTTTTTTCATTTTAAAAAATGTTTGTAGAGATGGGGTCTCGCCATGTTGCCCAGGCTGGTCTCAAACTCCTGGTCTCATGGATCCTCTAGCCTCAGCCTCCTAAACTGCTGGGATTACAGGCATGAGGCACCACACCCGGCCTCATCCGCTTTTCTGAAGGAGTTAGCAACCAAGAGAAAAGATCCTTCAGTTTGTCTTGTGATTAATTCAAAGATAAAGTAATATATCTTCTTGACCCTGCTGAGCAATTTTAAGGTACCGGCTAAGCCCTGAAGTAGGTCTTTAATATCACCAAATTTTTAAATTCTTGACACAAAAGCAACACATCTTCACGACGGAAAATTCAGAAATCTGTGATCGCATCACAAAATGACGCTAATACCAACAACTGAAGCTTCTGTCATTACTTGAGAAATACAATTATATTTACAACTTTTTAATACATAATATATTGAGAATATCTTTCCCTTTCATGGAATATTTTTTATGACACACATTTTAATGGCCCCTTGTATGATGTACAACTTATTTGATCAATCACCTATTTTATTGCTATTTAGGCTTTTAAGTATTTTTATACATTATAGGCAAAGCTACAATGAATACCCTTATAGCTAAGTGTCTGATACATCTTTATTGATTTCCTTTGAATATGTTTTCTAGAAGTAAAATTGAAGGAATGAAATATGTACATTGTTGAGGCTTTGAATACATTTGATCCTAATGACTGGGCGTTTTTCTTGACCTCACCGTTCAGAGTAGTTGTGGGTTTACTTATTAGAATTGTTATGCATCTGAGAATGTCAATATTTTTTGTGTTATTTCAATGATAACTTCTAAGAATTAATATTTGGGTCAGCAGAACTGTCTCCTGTAACTAAGCCTCGCCATGAGTTCCAATTGCATAAATTCGGCTTGCATTTGTTGACACATGATGACGTGACTACACAAGTGAAAGACTGGTCCAGTAGCTCGGGGGCTCAGAGAGGGAGATCCCTGGAACAGAGTTGAATGTAACTCAGCACACAGACACAAAGTATATCAACGAGTCAACCACTTAGTGGACACCCTCAAGGGCGGGCCATGTTTGCTACATATAGTTTTACAAAACACAGTTTCTGTTTCTAAGAAAGGTACAGTGTTGCTGGAAAGGGAAGACTTGTGTAGAAAAAAATAGCTGGTACAGGAGACAATAAATAAATGCCTAAGAGGCAAAAGGATGCTGGAATTCAAAGGATGCAGAAACCATCGCAGGCTGGTGGTCATGGTGGGCTTCACCAGTGGGGCTGGGATGGGAATTGGCCCTGGACAGACGGGTGGCATTTCTAACTGGAGAAAAGCAATTTCCCAGGAAGAGGAACATAGCCAAGGTGTGAGAGGAGAATCTGTGAGCAAAGTTCCTTTTAATGCGTCTAAAATATTTTGACTCTGCAGATGACCGCTTAAAAAACAAAAGAATAAAAAATAGGAACTAAAATGGACGCACACTCAGAGTGGCCAAGCCAAAGTGAGTCCCTAAAGTTCAGCAAAGCTGGAAATAGCCACCAGGACACCGACGTCCTGCTGCCTGACCCGAGATGACCCTCGGGGCGTTGCGTCGTCCTGGCTGGGCCTTCTGCCGGTGAGCCCTCCCCAGCGCCGGCGTCTCTGGTTCCACGTGCACATGCAGTTTTCCACGAGTGTTCTAGGACTGCCATGGCCTTGGGCTCACATCACATGCAAGGTCAGGAATCACACGCAGGGTGCAGAGGGCAGCAGGCCACCTGTAAGTGAACCCCATCACGTCTAAGATTACAATCTGGACCATTTTATCAATAATGCTTTGGCGGCCATCTTGTTGAATTTCACTTCAGTGTGTTGTAAGGTTCTCATGCTTAATGAAATTACGGGAAGTCCCTTTAATTCTCAGAGACTAATTAGTCAGAATATAGATTTTTTTAAAAAAAGAGGGTGGATGGGCTCCTTGGAGTAAGATGATGCGGCAAACATTTTTTCCTCGTAGAAACTCAACTCAATATTACAGACACAGTTCCTTGGTTTTGGTCTTGGCAGGCCCAGGAATGGTTTGAGCTATGAGAACCTGCCTTCCTGGGCTTCTCCATGGCTCTCGGATATGAACTGCTCACGTGCAGAAGTCCCATGGAGTGATGGGTTCACTACCAACCTCCACGCAAGCACCCAGGCATGCTCTGAGACACGTCTGCTCTGGAACCGGGAGGGCTGCAGGGACCGCTTCTGCAACCCATGAGGCGGGGGCTTGCATCGTGGCTCCTGGAAGCCTGGCGTCACATCACACATCTCTGTGTGTGAAGTAGATGAAGCAGAGATGCCCCGGTCCTGTGGCTTCTCTTGAGCCTTTTGTATTCAGCACGCTCTCTCGTCATGAAAAAACAGAAACTCTTATCAAATAACTTCTACGTGGTAATCTTCTTTCAGTTCTCCGTCAAAGCAGAAGGTGCTTTGCTTTCTTGCAGTTCCAGGTGCTGGTTTCAAACACAGTGGAGTCTGAAAAAAGTGACTGTAGGGAAAGTCTTCCGAGGCTGAGGGGCTGAGCACAGCGAGGGCATCCTTTGGCCACAGAAAGTGGAACACAGTGGAGGCCAGCTGGGAGGCAGCGCTGGGACCACACGTCCCACATCGTGTCAAAAACGGACACCCCAAAGCTGAGCAAAACGTGAATGAAACAAGGGTGGGTATTAGGTCAGAATCAAAGTCAGAGTTCCTGGAGTGAAGCCCCTGCCCACCACCTGGAGTTCTGGCTGGGTGGGTGACACGGGAGGCTGAAGGGACATCAGGTGACCAGGACAGCGAGCAAGCCCCTGGGGGTTCTAGAAAACTGGGTGCCTCCCGAGGCTGTGTCATGAAGGGCAATGGGTTTTCCCTGCGGGAGCAAAGACAGGAAGACGCGGCCCTAGAGGGGCCGTCAGGACCGTCTGTAAGTTAAGCAGAGACTCAAGCCCAAGAAGCAGGTCCCCTCAAGCCACAGGACATGCTGAGTAGCAGCTCAGCGAGGCCGACGCTGACCCTGCAGGCAGTGCAGGGCCGCTGGAGGTGGTTTATTTTTTAATTTCATTTTGCGATAGAGATGTGGGGTACAGGTGAGGATTAAGCACACAAGCGGGCTATGTGCAGATGAAGCCTGGGCCTCCAACAGGCCCTCACGCTCCCAGACACAGGGCCAGGCACCGCTTGTGTTGCCACCTGCCTCCCCACGCCCCCCAGCAGTGCCCAGGGACTGCCGATCCCTCCTCGTGCGATGGTGACTGGTGTTTCTGGCCCGTTTATGAGTGAGAACATGTGGCATGCAGGTCTCTGTTTCTGTGACCAATTACTGAGTATCTGGTCTCCACGTTGGAGATTTTTGAGTAAGGCCGTGACTGGAAGGCACAGGGAAGGCGCCTTTCTCCTTCGCCTGAAGAATTCCGCCCCCGCCCTCCTGTCTTGCCTGATCTGTTTTTCTTCCCTCTTTTCTGTGTCCTCCCAGCTCATGCCTTCGCATAGCGGCACCCATGTGCATCTTCAGATAATATGCGGGAGTTAAAATGGCTAACTCTCCTGGCCCACCTTTTGTACCTTCCTTTTTTCAGCAACACGACTGGGTGTTGGATGCAGACAGACGCTGCCCAGTACTGCCCACCTTCTTCAAGGAGCTCAGCTATCACCCAGGCTCGAGTACCAGGATTGGTTTAGAATGCCGAGGCCTACGTGCAGCCGCTCCCCAGGCACGGGTTCGCACTGGACCACGAATTCCAAGCCTCAGGAGGCCACAGACGTCCGGCAACCTCATCAAACATTCACACGCATCACAAGGTAGCGCGGGGCGGGCCAGCTCCCTCTGCAGCCAGGATTCCAGGGTGTTCCCTTGTCCCCACATGCAGAGGACGGGGACAGACCTCCTGGGGCCTGAAAGGTGCTGGCCCAGCAAATAGTTCTGCACACAGAAAAATTCAAGGAGCTGTCATTTTGAGAACTACCCAAAATAAAGCTGTAAATCATTACCTAGACAATTCAAAGCAAGAAACCCTTCCTCAGCGATATGACTGTCGCCGTTCAGGCTTGAAAGATCACCCAGTATTCAGTGCTCGAGAAAAATGTGTAAGGAAAACCAGGGCCTCATCGGTAAGGAAAAACAAGAACAAAACACCAGGAAAAGGAAGCTTCGGTAACAAGTTAGAAAGCTGCTCCTGTTGGCACACAGACACAGCCTGGCCTGGGAGCAGGGGATGGGAAGTCGTTGACGCGGCCCAGCCCAAGAGGAGCAGCGTCTGGCTGTTCAACTGGGAATCAAGAAAGTCGCCTGGACACAGAATACAACTCCAGATTGCCCACGGGCCATCTGGAACATGGGCCGTCCTATGAGTCTCACAAAGCTCCCCGTCACGCCGAGGACGCTCTTCTCTGTGTCAGGTTTTCACACTCGCATGCTACCGACATCAACCGGCTGGCCGGTCATTTGTAGTATATTTATCTTCCAGGAAGGGACTCCTACAGACTCTGACCCAGTGATTCAAGGAATTACAGGGGCAGAATGCTCAGTCAAAGCTGCGTACTTTGGTGACAAATATCACATATTAAGACCAAAGAGACAAGGAAGAGAAAACACCTTTTCTTCATATTTGAGGCTATAGACATAAGAATTTAGGCTGCGGGCAGGCAGTGGGGTGAGGGCATGATTATTCTTCAGATCCATTGCTGGAAGAGACACAGGTCTTGCCTAGAAAAGCTGCTTTTTGATTATTGTTGCTTTTGGAGCAGAAAGTTTTCAGCAGCCAGTAACCGT